AGAAGAGAGAGAGAGAGAGAGAGAGAGAGAGAGAGAGAGAGAGAGAGAGAGAGAGAGAGAGAGAGAGAGAAGGGGAGGGGGGAGAAGACAAGGAGAGGGAGGGAGAAGGAGAGAGGGAGGGAGCCAGGTGGGAAGAGACGTGCTGCCGTGCTGGCTTGCTGTGGTCCGGTGGTGCCCCGGAGCTGGGTTTGGAGGGACGTGCTGCGTTGCTGCCGTGCCACGTGGCCACCCCCGCTCGCCCGGGGAAGGGTCGGAAAATTGCTGCTCCTGCTACTAGCCGCCACGTGGCCACCCCCGCTCGCCCGGGGGAGGGTCGGAAAATTGCTGCTACTGAGCCGCCACGTGGCCGCCCCCGCTCGCCCCCCGCTCGCCCGGGCGAGGCTGAAAAGTTACTCCTACTACTACTAGCTGCCACGTGGCCCCCCCCGCTCGCCCCCCGCTCGCCCGGGCGAGGCTCGGAAAGTTACTCCTACTGCTACTAGCCGCCACGTGGCCACCCCCCGCTCGCCCGGGCGAGGCTGAAAAGTTACTCCTACTGCTACTAGCCGCAACGAGGCCACCCCGCTCGCCCGGGGGAGGCTCGGAAAGTTGCTCCTACTGCTACTAGCGGCCACGTGGCCACCCCCGCTCGCCCGGGCGAGGCTCGGAAAGTTACTCCTACTGCTACTAGCCGCCACGTGGCCACCCCCGCTCGCCCGGGCGAGGCTGAAAAAGTTACTCCTACTACTACTAGCTGCCACGTGCCCCCCCCCGCTCGCCCCCCGCTCGCCCGGGCGAGGCTGAAAGGTTGCTCCTACTACTACTAGCGGCCACGTGGCCACCCCCGCTCGCCCGGGCGAGGCTGAAAATGTTGCTCCTACTGCTACTAGGCGCCACGTGGGACGTGGCCACCCCCGCTCGCCCGGGCGAGGACAGTCGACGAGGGTCGCCCCCCCCTTTTCCGATTTCCCACTCACCTCGTGTGTGTGGAGAAGTTTACCTTGCCTTACCTTAGATCCTCTCGGTCATTTTACATGTTCCTGTTCATGCATGTCACCACAAAGATAGACTTCAAGACACAAAAAGAAACGTAGGAAGGTGGACACTTTTTGTGAAACTTCGGGCTCGTTGGGTCACAGGTTGAGCAGTTCGGACGCCAGCCGCTCGAGGACCTGGATGCCGACGACCGGGTTGGCGTAGATTGTGAGGCCGCCGTCGGCAGTGCCCGCAAACGCGTGGTGGTTCTCCGCGCTCAAGCTGAAGGCGCGCAGGGGCGCACCGGAGGCGGCGCCGCCAGCCTCCAGGTCGTACCGGTGCAGCAGCTGCAGGTCGCTGATCCGCCGCACCGCGAGCGCCGACCCCTCGGAGAGGAGCGCGAGCTCGCCGTCGATGGTGGGCACGATGCGGCCCACGCCACGGTCCGGGGACACGACCGCGAGAGGCCGTCCGCTCACGGAGAAGACGTGCACGGAACGCTGCGTCGCGACAAGCAGCCGCTGCGAGGCGTGTGCAACGGCGACGGCGACAGCACGCTCGTGAACGGGCAGGGAGCGCACGAAGCGGCCGTTTGGGACGGCCCACACCCGCACGCACTCGTGTGGACCGAGGGTGACGGACGCGGGCTTCTTCTCTGCCTGCATCGGGAGAGGCGGCGGGCGGGGCGCCGCGCACCGGCGCCGCTCCGGTGAGGAGGAGGCCGAGCTCCGTCGACAGGCAGAGGCACTGAAGGGGCCCCGGTGGCCGCTGAGGACGCGCA